TGCTAGGGGCTGTTCTCTAGGCTGGCACAGAAGCCTCAGCCCATTTTACAGAGAAGGGAACTGAGACTCAGCAATACTGAGGGGTCCCTGTGGCCTCAAGTGCAGCCCTTTGTCACCATGGTTAATATTGGCTACGGGTGTGTTTATCTTCTGTCCTACCAGTGCCTAAAGCCGCCCCCTCTCACCCTTTGGGGCCTGTGACCTGCCTCCTGCTCTGACCACCCTTGGCCTTCCTCAAACCCTAGTGCCATTGTCCCTGACACATTCCCATTACTGTCCTCCAGGGCCGCCACTTCTCTCTCCTGGGGCTTCAGGGGAAGCGGTACTTCCGGAAGGTGGAGGCTGGAGGTGGGCAGCCCAGGAAGCTCTGAGGACCCATGAGCTACCCACTGTAAATTTCAGTTCCGGGGGTGGGGGTGTCCCCAGGCGGGGATGAGGGCACCGTGCTTAGAACGTGACAGTCATCCTGGTGCTGGTTCACTGGGTCTGCATGTTGGCTGCCCTCCTCAGGCCCCTCCTTGGTGGTCCCAGAGTACCCATTTCCCATGTGCTCTCCTTTGAATCCATCTGTCCTCCCTTCCTGGCTCTAGATGGAGTAGCCACACGGTCCACTTCTGTTTGCTAGACCCAGGCCTGCTTAGATCCTGCTGTGTCAAAGGGCTGTGGATTATTGAGTTCCCCTCTCCAGGGGCTGGGTTCCCTAGCTACCTTGGAGGGGCTGTGGAGCTCACCCCACCGCAGCTGCAGTGAGATGTCATTTCCTGCACCCTGCCTGCCAAGCTGAGGCTGGAAGGGAGTTGGTGGGGGTTCCCTGGGCTTCCTGCTGTGGGGTCCTGCTGCTGGCGGGCATCCTGCAGACCGCATGGCCTAGGAACTCTGGTGGGAGTGGTACTCCTCGCTTGCATATGAGCTCAGTAGTGCCTGGCATCTTGGAGTCACCAGAGCTGTTGCCAAACATTCAGTATTCAGTTTTATTAATGTCACTCAGCCTCTCTCACCCGCCCTCTGAGGTCTAGGGAACTTCCCTGGGTTCTGAGCCGGGACAGTCCATCTCTGCTCTGTGTTGGTTTGCTGCTTAAACCTCCAGGCATTCATACTGTGGTCAGTTTTGTACCAAGGGAGTGCTATGTGTTCCCTCTTTCACACTCACTTCCTGGACTGCAGTGCCAGCTGCCTGTGATGATGGGCATCTTCCCTGCAAAGAGAGACTTTCTTCTCTGTCTGTCTGAGTAAGCTCCCTGGCTGTGTTGGTAGTAGTTCTGCAGAGATATCTTGGAATATGGGATTATATAGGGGGTCCTTGTGCCTCTGTGATTCAGTTTCCTCTCAGTCATGTTCTTGAGGCTTTTCTGTGACTTCTTGGGCAGGGGGTACTGTGTGTCCTGTAGTCTCTGTCTGAAGCTGACACATTGCAGCCCTAGGCCCCATCCATCCCACAAGCCCTGATCCTGGAGTGGTGTAGAGATTTTCCTAAGCAGTGGAATCGACACCCCTGCAAAGTCCCAAGGGAGGCTGTTGGAATTGTGCCTTATGGAGGCCATGGCTTATCAGGGTGGTGACAGCTAAGTGCCAGACAAGGCAGAACATGGCGTATATGAGCATGGTTTGCACACATATAAGGACGAGTGGGCATTTCTTGCTCGTTCCCTTCCTGGCTAGAAAGTTTCTCCCAACAGAAGGATCCAGAAAACACACCCAGCCCATTGTCACCCAGGCTCCGGGAAGGTATCTGCAGTGGACATTCTTTGTAAACAGGAAGGCCTGGGGTGGGGGCCTGCAGCAGTGGGGACCTGCCAAGGTAGGCATTGCTCTGGTGGCAGCGCCCTCCACACGGAACTCTAGGGACCTACAGTCTGCTTGGAGCAACCATAGGACGCTTGGCCCCGTACCATCAGGCTGCAGGCAGGGTGGAGGATGGGGGTGGGGTACGGTGGGGCTCCTAAGGGGACCTTCACACAGGGGCAGCCCCATTCCCAGGCTGGAGACTTGGCTCTTGCTCCTGCTGTCTCCCTTCCTTCCTGAAGTCTTTCCGTTTGCCACCTTGGCCTGTTTTCTCCTCCATTGGCGTGGCTCCTTGCCTTGTCAGTTTCCTCCTTGAGCCAGGTATGGGTGGTGGCCTTGAAGGGCCAGAGGAGTTTTGGGGTACAGCTGGTAGCTGGCAGCCTCCTTCCCTCCCTCTGAAGCTTTCTGCTGCTACTCCCACAGCAAAGCCCCCAACCCCAGGAGCAGCTCCAGCTGTGGCACTTTACAGAGACCCGAGGCTCCAGTCCCAGCTGTTCCCTGTGGTTGCAAGGGCGCCTCCTTGGCTCCCCAGGGCAGCAACACTGTCATGAGGTGAACATGGCCAGTTTCTCCTGGTGTTTGGGGACATCTGGCTCACCCTTAGTGTGACAAGCTGCCCTAGTCACTCCCGTTGCCCAAGTCTTCCCATGAATAGGGGGTGCCAAGGGCCTTGAGGAATCTGAGGGATTTCTCTTCTGGTCATGCCCTCGTCTTCTCTGGGTCCAGCCCAGCTTCCTCTTGGGTGCTCACAGCATTATCCTTTCTTCTTCTGGGATGTTTGCAGACGGTAGATGTGCTCAAAGTCCGCAAGATGTCTCTCTCGAATGTGCTGAAAGGGGATCCGGTGAGGGTTCAGCCTGGCGGGATGCAGGGCCTCACAGTCCGCAGACCTCAGAAGACAAAGCAGACTTGGGAAGGGGAGAGTTGGCCTAGCTTTCCTCATCTGGAGGGGTCGGGAGAGGCAGGGCTGTGATGGGTCAGCCAGTGGCCTCTGGATAGCCCAGAGGTGTGGAAATGGTTGTGGTTGCCTGGCCTAGGGATTGTGGTGAGTTTGCCTTTGGGCAGTTCTTATCCATGAACCTTTTTAGATTCTTCTTCCACCATAGGTTGGAGGCGGTGGCTTTTCTGACAGGGTCATAAGAATTCAATTGACGTCAAAGGAACAAAGGCATTCCAGGCTCCTGTAAGCAATCAGATTTTGTATTTGTTTCTTTCAAACACATTCTCCTGCCTGACTTGTCCCACCTCCCTTCCCTATACGCCCCTCCCCCCCATGAAGTTTAATGGTCTATAGAGCTGGTCTTTAGTTCCTGTCTTGGCCAGTAGGTGCTACTACCTCCTGGTTCTGGGATTAAGATTTTTTTCCTTTTTTATTTTTTTTAAATGTTATGTATATTGGGTGTTCTACCTGCATGTGTGTACGTGTACTATGTCTGCAGTCCCCATGGAGGCCAGTAGAAGGCATCAGATCCCTGGCACTGGAGTTACTGACAGTTGTGAGTCACCATGTGGATGCTGGGAACCAGACTCTTGTTCTCTAGAAGAGCAAACAGCAAGTGCTCTTCACACACCCCCCCAGCCATTTCTTTAGCCAACCCCCTTTTTTTGAGAAAGGGTCTCACTTTGTAGATCAGGCTTTTCTTGAACTCACAGAGATCTCCTGCCTCTGCCTCCCTAGTGCTGGTATTAAGACATATTACTACCCTACGTAGCTAATTTTGAGTTTCTTAAATTGACTGGCTTCCTTCCTTCCTTCCTTCCTTCCTTCCTTCCTTCCTTCCTTCCTTCCTTCCTTCCTTCCTCCTTTCCTCCCTTCCTCCCTCCCTCCCTCCCTCCCTCCCTCCTTCCCTCCCTCCCTCCTTCCCTCCCTCCCTCCCTTCCTTCCTTCTTCAAGCTGGTTTGTTTCTGGTTTTGTGAATGGCAAGGGTGTCAGGCAGGACAAATGAAGCTCATTGGCTGATGGAATTGGTCCCTTCTCTCAGCTGGGGTAGTTATGGTAGCCAGGCTGGCCTCTCCATAGTGGACCTGGTCACAGGAGGGCCTTCTTACTGCATCCACCTCCTGAGGGGAAGCAGGGAGGCCGTCCCCAGAGTCTTTGGGATAGATATAGGTTAGGCTTCTCTCGGAGGGGCTGTTCCTGCTGGCAGGGCCTCTGTATCACTCCTGGCTCGGAGTTGGCATTGGTACAGTTACTGGGATCACCCTGTACCGTGCTAGTTATCAGACTCAGAATGGGAGCATGGGCTTTAGCCAGAATCAAGTCTGGTCTCAGTGTCACATCCAGAGTGCCAATGTTGTCCTAAGACTGGTGTGGTGTCCTCCAGTGTCTGCTCTGGGCTTCTTCCTGCTCAGCTCACATGCCAGGACGAGGCCAGGATGAGTTAGGTTCAGAATGGTCAGGTCTTTCCAGGGTGCAGCCAGCCTGTGTCCTCTACCTGGGGTGTGCTAGTCACTTGTGGCAGTGAGGTGGCAGGAAAGGTCAGGACTATCCCACGTATGAGAGAGATGAGGGGGAGAGAGGAAAGGGAGGAGGGGAAGGAGCAAAGGGGTGGGCTTTCTCAGAGCATCAGCCTTGGAGGGGCAGGTAGCTCTCACCGTGGTGTGTGTCTCTGCCCTGTGCAGGCTCCTCAGTGTCTTCTCCATGGCCTGCCGGGTCTGTGAGCAGTAGATTGGACGCCTGGGGACCTCCCCAGCCTCTGGAGTCAGGGAGGCCTGATTAAAATTGTTCACGTTTGAAACCCTGCTTGAAAGGTTGGCATGTGGGAGGTCCCGGCCCCAGCCCTGCTCTGTGGGTTGCCAGACTCATGCTTGGCACACTCCCTGGCTCTCCACAAGGCCACCTGGAAGCTCCCCTCCCACACGGAAGTGTCAGCGCCCTCCTTCCCTCTGGGTTCTGGGCTGCCCTGCTGTGGTACCCAGATGTCCAGGTCGTGTGGCCCAGAGGGCAGGCAGGGTAACAGACTTTAGAGCCTTCAGCTTTCAGCGCTGGCTCCGGCTCTATGTAGGCAGCTGTGAGGACCCCAGAGAGTGTGAGCTTTAGCAGTGGCACCTGCTAGGCCCTCCAAAGATGGTCTAGTGTTTGGAGTATGGCGGAAAAGTCCTGGCACCCTTGGTCTTCAGTACGAGGGTTTGCCTGTGGCTTGAGCGGGTGGGAACGGGCAGTTGCCAGGTCCTAGAGGCTGCTCTGACCCTCCTTCCTGCCAATTCTTGTCTTGCAGACTTCTCCACCCAGGTGAACTCTTCATCCCTGAGCTCTCCAACGGGTCGAGGCTCCATGGCTGCCCCCTCGCTGCACCCCTCCTTGGGTCCAGGAATCGGCTCTCCGCTGGGCTCCCCCGGGCAGCTACACTCACCTATCAGCACCCTGAGCTCGCCCATCAATGGCATGGGTCCACCCTTCTCTGTCATCAGTTCCCCTATGGGCCCGCACTCCATGTCGGTACCCACCACACCCACACTGGGCTTTGGGACTGGAAGCCCCCAGGTGAGTACTGGACTGCGCTTTGGGGGAAGTGGGACAGCAAGTGGGAAATTTCAGCTGTAGACTGTGAAGCCATAGGTCAGAGCTGTCATTTCGACTATGTCTTTATGAAAGTGGGCTGCAGAGCAAAAGCTAGCCTCGGTGTCATGCTGGCGGTGATGGGGCTGAGATTCCCTCTGGCTGACCCAGACTGGCCTGGGGCCGAGACTCCCTCTGGCTGACCCAGACTGTCCTCTATAACTCTGTCAGGTGAAATTTCTTGTAGTTGATCTTCAACTCCCCCTTGAGCCTCCTTAGAGCCTTCCCCATGATTGTGGAACGGTGGGGTATCTACTTTCTCAGCTTACACCTATCTTCCAGGAATCCCGGAGGCCTCATAGGTCCTTCTACCCAGGCCGCTGGGTTCAGTGTCCCTGGGCCTGCAGGGAAAGCACATCCTGGCCCAGGGATGCCAGTCCTCTGATCCTACAGAGGCCCCTGGTGGCAGCTTATGCCTGGGCTCTGGCTTTCAGTGGCTTTGTGGGTGTTGGCTATCTGTGAGGCTTGACTCCCTTCTCTGTGGGCCTAGCAGGGCCTTCGTCCTGCTGTGGGTACTCTGGGGTCCTTGCTCAGCCTGCTCTTCTTCCCAAGGACCCGAATACCCATTGGCTAGAGCTGTGCTCTGCCCCTATTTCCCCAAGGGTCTTGGTGGGTTTCTACGGGGATTTTTGCCCTTGGCGTACGTGCAGCTCTGCATCTGGAGAGGCTGCTCTTTGGGATTCCTTCGCCTTTCCTGAAACAGGTCAGGGATGTCCTTTCTGCTCTGAGTTTCTCAGTTTGGGTTCTGTCCCCCCCCCCAATAGCTTTGCTGTGCCACCTCATAATGGAACACTTGGGACTCCTCCCTGGAACCACAGGGCTAATGCCACCTCCTGTGCCCCTTCCTGGTGCTGGGTGTGCTGGAGACCACTCACTGCATGACTAGGTAGCCTGCTGGGACTGGCCTGAGCCTCTTAAGCCCCTGCTCCAGACAATCTGGCTAGTTTTCCTAGGCTGATCCCATCTAAGCCCCTTTGCCCCAGGATATGCACACCTGTGTGTGTGTGTGTGTGTGTACATGCTCCCACAAGCACCTGTGTGCGTAGAAGAGCTGGGGCTCCTGTTACCCTGCCCCCAACTCCTGGCCTTGTTTTCCAGAAGCAGACAGAGGCCTGACCACCAAGCTACCTCCCCTGGCCTGGCCGTGTTGTTTTTATCACAGCTGCTCGATATCCCTTGCTAACCCCAGATGTCATGGGCAGAAAGGCTAGATGAAGAACTGATCTCCACAGTTCCCTGGCTTCAGTGTTGGCACCTCTTGGCTCTCCGTTCTAGGAGGCTCCGTGCTGGGTCTGGATGTAGCTATATCAGTCATGGCCAACTGGTGCCCAAAGCCATCCATGTGTCTCATTTGGTCTTGGGGCTCTACTAGGACAGGACCCAAGGGGATGTTCCCTACTACTTCCCAAACCTGTCTGCCTGGCCACGCTGGCTTCCCTGGGTGATTCGCAATTGGAAAGCACTTCTGAGTGTCCAAATGTGGAGCCGGTGAGGCACTGAGGCCTCTGACTCTCCTGGGAGGGTCTCCTCTGTGGGGGCCACAGGTATTTCATGATGCCTGAAACCAGTCAGATGGGGAATGAAGCTGTGGGGAGCACGCAGAGCCTGGGAGCATACGGATAGCCCATCCAAGAGGTCTAGTTGAGGCCTGGCCCGGGTCTGGGAGGACAGGATGAGGTAGGGGTGGAAGCGAGGATGCCTGAGAGGTAGGTGGGGACCCAGGTGGGGTACCAATGAGGCAGAACTGAAATAGATGCCAAGGATATGAAAGGGGAAATGGGATGCCCCCACCCAACCCAGGAAGGCCCTGGGCTCCAGCAGAGGGCTGTCCAGTCCTGGGTCTCTTGAGAGAAGTATAGGGAGCACAGAAGTCCCAGGTGGGTGGGGGTTATGGTCCATGGGGGAGGCCGAGGAAGGGGAGGATAGATAGAGGCTGCCCTAGTCTAGTCCATCAGCTCAGGTCTGGGGAGGGCTTCCAGGATTGTCTGCTAGTGGAGCCCTGAGGAACCTTGTGGGTGTCTGTGAACCTGTGGTGAGGTTGGGTGCTACAGCCCAGCCTTTGCTCTGCTCTGACATCAGGGCTTCACTGGGCCTGAGCTGATTATGCTGCCCAGAGCTAAGACATCCAGGAACTTTAGGGTTAGGCGTCCTATATAGTAAGCAGAGTGGAGGGCGTATGCAGTCTTCCCAGCGAAAGCCAGGGCTGTCTCCCTGCTTCCCCAGGATTCCCACATAGGGTCTTCATCCAGTTAGCACATGCTCTCTTCTGCAGTGAGATGTCCTGCCTGCCACCAAGGACACCCATGTCCTGACAAGCCCCTGACACATCTCTGTGGGCCTCCAGGCTTCCCAGCAGCCCACCTACAGCCGGCCAGAATAAGGCACCCATGCAGAGCTAGCTAGGGCTGCGGAGTCATTCTGAGTGCTAGCCCCCCTGATAGAGAGCTTGTGGTGCTTCTGCGCTATTCCTGTCCCGTGAGAAAGGGGGATGGGGCAGGAGGCCCTGAGGAAGGAGGTGAGCTTCCCCTTGCAGGGGGCAGCAGAGGCTATGCAAGGGCAGTTCAGCTGCACAGCTGGCTTTTTGCCGTTGTCAGGGGTTTTCAGAAGTGTGGGGACTACCCAGCTGGGCTCTGGCGCCCTGGCAGCTAGGCAGGCAGAGGGAAGTGCCTCTGGGCCCTGTGCTTACTGCAGAGCTGGGTTGGAGGCTGCGGAACTAAAACTGCTGTGTCATTGCGACGCTGCAGCTGTTGCCTGGGTGACAGGGTGAGTTTCCCACGCTTGCCCCTGGCGGCCAGCGGGCGGGCGGGGCGAGGCAAGGGGTGTGCCGAGGCCAAGATGGCCACACTGGCCCTACGGCTTGATGTCTGGGGTGTCCACTTGCTCTCCTGTCCTGTCCTGCCCCAGATTCCACTGTCATGCAGGGTGGTGGGGAGATGCCTGACTCTGGAGGAGCCCAGTCCAGTCTCCTCCCTGAGCCTGGGCCTCTTGTCCTCACCTGGGTGATGGGGAAGCCCAGAGCACCCGAGCTCTCATGTGTCCAGGACCTATGGCGGGTGTTAAATGACAGTGACAGCTCCTTGGTGGGTGGCAGAGTGGGCCTCCCGTGTGGTACTCAGAGACACGAGATCCCTGGCTGTGTGAGTTCTCTGGTACCCTGCGGTGATCTGGGTTTTCTGGGAGGAACTCTGAGGGCCGGGCATAGAGCTGAACCCCGTTCTAAAGGTGGTGGTCCTGCTGTTCCTTCCTTACCCACGCGTCCCGAGTTAGGCTGTGTAGAGTGGAGCTGTCGGAAGCCCAGCACTCATTAATGCCTGTCACCAGCCTCCCAAGGCTGACCTATCCTGACTCATCCTCTTGCAGCTCAACTCACCCATGAACCCGGTGAGTAGCAGTGAGGACATCAAGCCCCCACTGGGCCTCAATGGCGTCCTCAAGGTTCCTGCCCACCCCTCAGGAAATATGGCATCCTTCACCAAGCACATCTGTGCTATCTGTGGGGACCGCTCCTCAGGTAGGACTGCCTGGTAGGCAGGGGCACCATGCTTAGACAAAGCTCATAGGGCCTCTCTAGCTTTTTCCCATTGGGCTGGGTTCAGGGAGGCAGGAACCCAGGGGCGCCTCCTGTGCCCTGTAGAGCAGGGGGTGGGCTGAGAGCTCCAGGTGCCTTGCTTTGTCCTCAGGTAGAACGGGCACGAGGATGGGAAGACCAAGAGAAGATGCAGGCATAAATGGCTGAGGTGCAGTGATTGCTAGCCTCCTCTCTGGGCCAGGCCTGTTGAAACTGTTCCCCCCGCACCCCCACATTGTGTTACTGAACCCCAGTAGCCTGAGTGCCAAGAACAGTGTCTATACTCTTCCCACAGACACAGAGAGCACAACAACATCACTGTTGGTATGCTGGTCCTCAGGGGACGGTGACCCATAGCCCCAGCAGATAGAAGGTGGATGGACCTGGTCTCTGATGCACGCAGGGAGGACCAGGCAGCACCCAGCCTGAGCCCAGACAGGGGTTCTCAAACTTGAAGGCAGAGCCCTGGCATGCAGCATGACTCATGGGTGAGGGTCTTGTCAATACAGCTCACCCATCCCTCTGTCCACACCCTACAGGCAAGCACTATGGGGTATACAGTTGTGAGGGCTGCAAGGGCTTCTTCAAGAGGACAGTTCGCAAAGACCTGACCTACACCTGCCGTGACAACAAGGACTGCCTGATCGACAAGAGGCAGAGAAACCGGTGTCAGTACTGCCGCTACCAGAAGTGCCTGGCCATGGGCATGAAGCGGGAAGGTAGGCCTTGAACACCCTCCTCCTGCCCAGCACACTCTTCTCATCAGGACCAGGGAGCCTCCACTGTCCCCTTCCCCAGCATTATGAGCATAGAGGGATTTGAGCAGAGTCTAGGCCGGAATGTGGCAGACTCTGGTGTAGCCTGGCTGGTTCCTTTGTGTGTCTTCAGGGACAGGGTGCTCCCCGCCCCCTTCAGTGCTCAGTGGAGCTCCTGGCCTGTGCTATTAAGATTGCTGTCTGTATAGCTTGTATGTTGAGGGACTGCCTTCATGCCAGCCCTTCCCCCAAACCAGATTTTCACTGAGTGCTTGCTGTGTAGCCAGGCCTTGGGGTTTTAGAATAGATAAGACAGACCAGGACCGTCCCACTGGCAACTTGACCCCAAGGACAGGAGCTGAGCACACAGCCCCCTCTTGAGGCATGGCAGGGCTGAGCCAGCACATGACTGGGAGAGCACCGGGCTAGAAGCATGGGGAGAAGGCAAGAGAGAGGGTACCCACAGGGTCATCCCTGACTGCCCATCCCTCCATCCGCCTAGTGAGGGGATGATCAGGGGAGGCTATGGGTATGAGGCACATTTGGGTTGAAGTGGTGGAGGGGGGCCTCTAGAGACCACCGAAATATCACCCAGAGCCTGCTGAATGTGAGGGTCATCTTGGGCTCCCCTTCTTCTCCAGGCCACTTCCAGTTTCAACCCTGGCAGGGTCACCGGTTAACCCGCAGGAGCAGCGGGGCTCTGGGCCTGTTGTATTAGCAAGATGTATATATATATATGGGGTAGGGAGGGCTGTGTAACAGGCCAGGAGACTCCCCAGAGATGCCAGATGTCAAGTTGTGTCGCTAGACCCTTAGGGTCCTCAGCTGCATTGTCTCCTCCTAGCCCTGCATTTGGAAAGGCATTCCTTGGTTGGGGGGAGGGAGGGGAGGGAGGAGAGATAGAGAGAGGAGTGTGTGTGTGTGTGTGTGTGTGTGTGTGTGTGTGTGTGTGTGTGTGTGTGTGTGTTCTTCTATCTTTCTTAGGCCCTGGCCTCACAGGGCTGGGTACTCTCTGAGGCAGGGTCTACTACTCTCACTCCAGCGTTGCCCCCCCAGCTTCCTCTGCCTGGGTTGTGCATGGGCCCAATCCAATGGCTGTTGTATGTCCTCACACTTTTTCACCAGCTCTATAATTGCCCCTGTCTAGGACCAGCCCGAGGAGGGCCTGTGCTGGGATTTCTTTTCTCTTCACATGGTCCCTCTTTCAGGATTTTCTGGCCCTCTTGTTCATGGGAAGCCCTGTGCTCCTGTGGGATTCTTTCATGCTGTGAGGTCAGCAGGGCGTGCAGGGAGTGCCTGCCCCTCACTCCCAGTGCCTGTGTGGGGCAGCATACACAGAACTGTGTGCTATGGGGCTGGAATGTGTGTGTGAATGTCCCTAGCCAGGCCATTCTCACTGGCACGTGTTTCATGCAGAGTACAAAGTTCTTTTAAGTCTGACCTTGACTGTGTTGGGAGATTTCCAGTGGCCATTAGGGGCCAAGTCTTAATGTATTTGTCTAGCTGAGCTAGACCCCAACTTTTGCCCCCCCACCCGTTTTTCTGTAATCAGAGAGTAGGCGGAGGGAGTACCTTGCCAAGAGTGGGGTACACTGTCCCATCCTTGGGGTACCCCATGCCCTCAGGGAGCACTTAGGGGAACAGCCAGTCCAGCACATCCTCTAGAGGACGGGTGCTTGGATAGACAGACTTGGGGTGAGAGCCATGGCCAGGTGTGTGCCTGGCCAGAAGTGTGTGGTTGTGCAAGCCTCTCAGGAGCTGAGCTCAGCCCTGAGCCTGCTCTCTCTCAGTGTTGTTGTTCCTGGTGATGGGCACTGTTTGGGTCTCTGGGTATGAGTTCCTGTCCCGTAAAACTGACCACCAGATAAGCAAGTGTCTTTAAGTCCCTGACTTTGGTCAGCTTGTACCTGACCCAGACTTGGGTGCTGAGCATGGCTGCGTGCAGGAGTGTGTCCAGGCCAACTCTGGAGCATGGATAGATCAGGTACTGTGTGCCCAGCTGAAGGGAGTAGTGTCTGTGAAAGCCAAGGCTGTCAGCAGACCTGTCATTTGGCAGACATTACCATTCTGACCCCTCAGCTCAAGTGACCCCTTCTCCCACTGTCCGCAAAGTTGCCCTTAGGTGCTTGGTGTTCAGATACCAGCTGCTTGGACTTCCAGAGGTGTGGGCGTTGTGGATGATGCCCTCAAATCCCAGTGGAACAGTACAGTCTTCAGATGGGGAGGCTGGAGTCAACAGTCTAGGTCTTACTCTGTACTTCCTGTGGGTGGGGCCCTGAGCACCCCCTCTCCAGTCTTTTCACAGAAAATGCCCACCCTCCATGCCTGTGTCTAATGCTGCACACGCTGCATAAGGGAGGAAGTGGGGTGCAGACAAGAGAACTCCAGGCTATCCATTTGCCTGTGCAGCGCCCTGCAGCCTATGCTGTTCCTTAGGCCACGTTGTAGCAATGTTTTGGGCCCTAAGAAATGCTTTACCCATTCCTTTGGAGAGATGCATCCCATCCCCACCCCATGTCTCTTTGTTCCAGGAGGATTTATGAGCCATCGGGGTTTAGTACAATCCCTGTGAAGCACTCTCTTGCCCCAGACACAGCAGCCATGGAAACTGACCCCTTGGGCTGCACAGGGTATTAGCATGGCAGCTATAAGATGTTTGGAGACCCTCAGGCCTGGTGGGCACTGCCACCCAATGGCTGGTTCTGGGGTGGGGGTGAAGGAGCTTTGGCTTGCCCACCTGACCTGTTGCATTTCCCAGAGCCCGTGGCCCCTCGCCCACAGCCCCACTCTTGAGGCAGTTGGCTCTAGAGTAGCCTGGGAGCCCAACCTGCAGGGATCTCTGGGAAGAGCCCAAAGGGCCTGTCCCCACCTCTGCTTGCATTTAGGTAGTAGACACTGCCCCGCTCCCCACTCTGGGGTCTGGGCCAGTCCCTAGAACAAATTCATATTCTATTTCCTCAGCTGCCCTGGGCTAACCACTTGAAGGAGAGTTCTGTGAGTAGTGGGTGGGGCTGCTGGATGCATGAATTGCATAGTCTGACAGACTTTGGAGGAGCTGTGAGGCCAGGTTGCCAACCCCAGGGCCTTTGGCCCCGAGAATGCAGGTTGTGCACCATAGGCTCCAGTGCTGGCTCAGCCCCCTAAGTACCCAGCCCCTGTGGGTAACAGTCAGTGAGCTTTGGAGTCTGAATCTCATGATCTCCCTCTTCCGGGCTTTATCACACACAGCCCTGGAAACGGGGGCTTGAGCAGAACTGCTGTGAGGAAGGAGCTGACCACAAGAAGGCTGTGTTTCCCTGTAGGGTGGCCCAGCCCTGGGACAGGCACCCTGGCTTCAGGCTCATGAAGGATACTGCAGGCTGATAGCATCTACGTTGGGCAATAGCAGGGGCCTGCGTGTGCAAGCAGCCACGGGGACTTGTTTGGCAGCATTCCCCAGCTGGGGGTGGGCAGTGCCCTTCATAGGCTGAGCCTGGGCCTGTTGGCTGGGGCAGGTGGTGGTAGTGCTGGGGGGCCTGCAGGTGCGTTGATCCGCAGGCTGGAGAGGCTGCACACTGCACACCCCATCCTCAGCTCCCTTCCCCTGAGGCCTCTTAGCGTTTCCTTCCTGACTCTCTTAGCTTCCTGCACCCTGTCCTCTGGCTCTGGAGCGCTTTCATGCGGAAATGGCAATTTCTGTTCTGTGTGTGTGTGTGTGTGTGTGTGTGTGTGTCTGTGTGTGTGTGTGTCTGTGTGTGTGCCTGCTTGTGCACCCTCAAGAATGAGTCCACTATTTCCGCTTTAGTGAAATGGCCCTGGCTTAGTTGTTTCTCTAGGTTTATGACTTTGCCTCTCTGAGCCTAGTGTCCCCATCTGAACTATGGGGATTCAGCAAAGTCCCTCGAAACTTACTGGTGGAACAGAGCAGAAGACAGCTCAAGCCCACTGGTAGTGGGGTTGGAGCACGGTGGCCACAGTGTGTTTCTGTGCTTGTATTTAGGTTTGTACATGTACGCATGGCTGTCTATGTCTTCACTTTTCCTGTGACTTGTCCCAGACTTGTCCTTGAGGGAGGGAAGGCCATCTGAGCTGCAAGGACCTTGATGCACTGTGTGGTCTCTGGGAAGAAGCCGTCTGCTCTGGCTCTCCGCTGCCTGGGTCTTAAGAAGGGGCAGTTGGGCCAGTGCCTATCTCAGGACCCAGACTGCTGAGGGGCAGAAGGCCACAGTTTCTGGCAGAGTCCCTAACAAGGGGGCACTATGGCCTGGGATACCCCTGTACCCTAACACCCACCCCGCCCCTGAGGCCCCACAGTTCTGCTGGGTTTGGTTTCTGAGCAGTGCCCAAAGCACTCCACTTTGACTGTGTGTCCTACATTGGGACCCAGGTGTGCTGAAGGAGGGTCATCCCCTGCTCAGCCTGCATCTGGATCTTGGGAGGACTGAACCACTGGCGGAAGGCCCCTCAGGCAGGCAAGGGAACCTTAGTCTCTGAGGCAGCCACCTCCCCACCTCCCCCGCAAGGCCTGCGCAGGCTTGGAAGGATAACGAGGCTCTGTATTTACAGACGCCTCCCGCCTGAGGCTTCCCGGCGCCAGTGGAGCATAAGTCAAACATGAGTGCGTCTAAAAGGTGATTGAGCTGGCAAAACATAAATCCCCGTTCCCTCTGCCCCCTCCACTGTCTATAAATAAAACGATAATATTTATAACGATGCCGCCCTGAGCCGCTGGGGCCCTTGGAGGCTTCAAAGTGCTTCACAAAACATTTGCTAATTAATTCTCAGCTGCCCCCGCACAGGAGGCAGGTGTGAGGAACCCCTCACCCACCCAGGGCCAAGCTCTCAGGGATAGCTGGCTGCTGTGAGGGCCTGCGCTCAGGGTTGCCTTCCTCTGGGCTTCCCACATCCCAAGGCTGTCTCTGAGAGCAAGGAAGTCCCTTCCTGGGAATGAAACTGGGCCAGCAGGGTGGGGCTGGCCTGCTCAGGTGTTTCCTTTAGGGTCCTCTGGAAGGCAGGCACTGCGTTGACATTTTACAGGAAGTGGGGTGCAGAGATGCTAAAGGCGTTGCCCTAAGCACCCCAGTTGCTCGAGGGAGACCATCTCTTTCCAGAGCCCATAGTTTGATGTGGCACTTGGCTCTCTGAGTCGTTCTACGTGGGAAGGTGAGGTTGTTGAGTTGACATTGACCTAGCCAGAGGCTGAAGAGTTCTGTCTTCTGGCCTTGGAGTGTGGACTGCCTGGCTCTGGGTCTGGCTGTGACTGGTCTGTTCAGATGCTTGTCAGTGGGGCTGCTTAGTATTGGTGGGCTGATTTCTTGAGGCCCTGAGCCAGATTCCTCTGTGACTTGTGGAGTGACCCTAACCCAGATGCGAGGCAGCCACATGGAGGGCCCTAGAAGCCCAGCTGGGGAGGGATGGAGCCTGGCAACCTTCTGTAGCCCCTGTAGGCTGGGCACCATCTGCCTATAGCACTCAACTGTACACCAGCCCCGACCTGCTGTCAGATTTTCCAAAAGAGCCAAGCTTGCAAAACACCAGCCTCTGCCCAGCTGGTGTGTTCTGCAGACATCAGACTAGCCTCTTATCCTTGGCTTTTTCATGACTTGAAAGTCTCTGCTACAGCCAGGCCATTGAGTCTTGGGGAACACAGCCCCCAATGTGGGAGAGCCACGTATTGATTGGCTCAGTCTGGTCCTCAGCCAGATGGTTTTGGTGAGCCCAGCAAAGGCAGGGGATTAAAAAGTGGTCACTCAGGACTGTCACAAAGCTGTATGCAGAAAGGGAACCACTGAGCTGAACATTTCAGTGGGAGCTCTGGAGGAGTGAGGGGGGTGGGCATGAGAGAAAGCTGGATGGTGAGCAGAGCCCACTGCAGTATGAGAACCCCTTCCCTCTTCATCCCTCCTGTCAAGACATTTAAGTGGACCGTGGGCCAGAGAGCCTGGGGTCAGGAGGTAGGTCTGGATGTAGAGGAGGAGGAGAGTCCTGTTGCCCTGCCCTTGAGATCCTGATGCTGCTTCCCTTTGTCACCCAGGGAAGAAGGAGACAAGGTTTGGATGGGCTCTGACCAAGGTCCTGAGATGGTCCTAGGCATCACCCTGGAGAAGAGGCCTTCAGGTCTCTACCTAGCCTGCTGCAGGAACACAGAATGGAGGGAGGGTGTCTGGACAGGAGCCAGGACAGAGTAGAATAGGGTCAGGGGAGCCATTAAGGAGAAGGCACACTCCTTGGCTCCTGCCTGAGGCTCTTCACTGGACCTGTGCTCCAAAGGTGCTGTTGGAGTGAGCCTGCTCGTGCCGCTGTAGTTAGTCCTCTTTCCACGCTGCCTCCCGCCATCCCCGAGAGCTGGTCTGCTTTCAGCTGTCCAGGAGCTGTTGTCTGGTGTTTGGTTGGTGGGAAGCAGGGTGGTCAGTCCCAAGGCCTATGGCTTCCTGGAGGAGGGGGTTAATGTGACACTCCATTGGCAGAGCCAGGCACGGAGAGCAGGGAACAGTGGGTGCGTGCCTTCACACTTGCCCAGCGTGTCTCTGGTCGTGATTGTCCCTTGGCTTATCACTTCAGTGGTCACTTCCTGTCCCTGGTCTGGAGCATACCCTGCACTCCTCCGGGTATTTTCATGAGTTGTTTCTTTCGCTGGATTAGTTCCCTCGTTTTGCTTCTTTCTTCAGGCCCATCCCCAATTCTTCCAGAAACCCTTCTTAGGTTTGCTCTGTGTCTTCAGACCATCAAAGCCGTTCACACCCACTTTAGTATTTCTGTGACCCGGCGGCTCCAGGGAAGACCATCTGCCTTGACCTCAGATGGGCTCCTGGCTGGCACAAATACTAGCTAAGTGTGTTCAGGGTACACAGCCACCCAGTGGCCAGGAACAGGCAGGTACAAGGCTGGGCTCTGAGTGTCTCCCTCAGTAGGCCCTGGAGGGACTCCAGAGTTGTAGATGCACTGGCTTGGAGCTAGCTCTACCTGGCTCTGAACGTTGGGGGGGAGGGGTGTTCTAGGAACTGTGGGCCTGGCTAGCCCAGGTGACTGTCTCCTGTATGTAGCCGTGCAGGAGGAGCGGCAGAGAGGCAAGGACCGGAATGAGAATGAGGTGGAGTCCACCAGCAGTGCCAATGAGGACATGCCCGTGGAGAAGATTCTGGAAGCCGAGCTTGCTGTTGAGCCCAAGACTGAGACATACGTGGAGGCCAACATGGGTCTGAACCCCAGCTCAGTGAGTCTTGCCGTTCATCTGCCTTAGTTTCCCCCTGGTTGCTTACCCTCCTGCTGGAACAGCCACTGTACCAGAATCCCGTGGCTGCTGTTGTCTCTTGTCCCCAACAGTGGGGCCTCTGTCCTTGTAGGTGACCCTGTGAGTGCCTTGCTCTGCCTGGGATGTACCTGGGGTGCTGGCCTTGCTTTGTCTGCCCCATCCAAACACACAACTGCCACTGCGGGGTCTCGGTGCATGTGCCTGGCGAGGCTTGATCTCAGTGCAAGGGAATGCTTCAGAGAGGCTATAGGGAGCCGAGCCTGGTCAGAAAGCTCTGCGGCAGCCGCAGGGTGACTTTTCGGAGTCTCTCTGTCCTAGTCACTGCTGTGAGAAGGTGGAGGAGCCAGCAGGGAGATGCTCATGGGCGGCAGCTGCTGTGACTGCCCATGGAGCGGAAGTGTCTCTTGACCTAGTCGGTCACCCTCAAACTGGCCACCTGTAGGCGTGGTGTAGACATCCGCCTCCCCCAGTCTTCCTGAACCACCTGCCACCTATAGCTACTGCAGCTCCAGACAAAGCATGAAGGGCCACAGTTCCCACTGCTGCCTCTCTGCCAGGCTGCCTGCAGGTTTCAGGACTTTCTGGCTTCCGTGCCTGTTCCTGGACTCGCACCTGAACTCTTCCCCTGACTCTCTCTCTGCCCCACCTCTGCCATCGTTTCAAGGACCATTGGCAGAGATAGGCTTGTTTAGGTGGGAGACTCCATTTTCCCAAGGCCCCAATGAGGAGGTGACTGCAGCCATGTCCCAGATTGGGGCATTTCTTGTGCAAATTCTAGAACAGAACCTTGGGCAAACCCACAGACCTCATGTTTCTCAGGCTCTTGGTCTGTCTTCTCTACTATGTGTGCTTTCAGCATGATGCCCAAACTCCATCTGGACCTTTGTGTGGGTCTCTGGGCTGGGACCAGAGCCCTGTGGCTAACCGTTGGACGCCCAGCCCAGGTAGACCTCAAGGAAGGCCCCATCAGTCTCTCTCTCTCAGTGAGGGTTGTGCTTGACTTCTCTTGTTCCTTGGTGTCTAGCCTCAGCCTGTTGCTGTGAGACGGACACAGAGCACTGACTCTTTCCCTTCAGCTGGGCACACGGCAGTGGCATAGTGGGCTACCCCCAGGAGGCAGTGGGTGGTGTCTGAGCTGTCCCAGGTGCTCAGACACGTCTCTCCCCCCTTCTGTAGTCTGTGAGTGGAGATCCGCTCTTGCATACTTATGAGGCCCCGTGACAGGATCACTGCCTCACCCCTGCCCCCCATTACCCACCTCCCCTGTGTCTAAAACGCAGGGCTGCCTCACTGGGGAGAAGGTATAGGGCCTTGCAGGTAGTGTTCTTTTGGGGACCCAACCCTGCCTGCGTTACGACACCTCCCGACATGGGGACCACAGAAAACCGTGCCCACTTGAGCCTGCCCAGTGCTGTGGTTGGGGTTCTGTCCTCCAAGTCTTCTCACCAATCCTGGAAGGGAGTAGGGGGCAGCATCAGGACTCTCCCTTGTGGAATAGGATCTGAGGGGTGGTTGCCTGGACTTGAAGGGTGACTAAGGTTTTCTTTTGTCAAATAAGGTTGTTGCCGGTAATGTTCTCTGACATTGCCTTTGCTGTCCCGTGAGGGTCCAGGTCTTTAAAGCTACACAGTGGAAGGTCATTGTCCTCCTGGCCTCCTGTGACTGTCCTTGATCTGATCCATACGTGGACCTGGTGGTCCTTCCCTCAGATGCACGCTAAGGAGGCAGGATAGGCAGGACCCAGCCTCACAGATGGGCTGCTGGCTCCTCTGGGCCCTGCCTGGGTGGTCTTGACCACACCTCCCTCATTAGATGTCTGCTGTGGAGTCAGCTCACAGGACTGAAGCTGTACAGTGGATGGGACAGGGCAGAGCCAGGGCCCACCCGGCCCCTCCCTCCCTCCCAGACAGCCCTGCAGTTAGTTCCCGCTGCGCTTGGCCCCACACCCTTGTAGCACCTGCCTCCTTCTTTCTCTGGTCCTCTGCTTCAGCCTCGTGTCCAGTCCTGACAGATGGTCCGTGTGCATGTGACTTCAGAGGTCACGGTCAGCGCAGGAATGGCTTTGAGCTCTTTTTCCCAAACACAGTGGCACTGTGACAGTCTAGGATTCAAGAGGGTAGCCTGAGACAAAGCTGTTTGGTGGGGCTTGGGTATGGGATTTGTCTTCTGGTCCATGTATTCCTACAGCTGGGTTAGGGCCCTGCACTCGGCTCTCACCCTGGGCCTGCTCCCCGGCAGATGGCAGGCAAGGAAGACACCCGTGGAGCCAGCCCTTGTGGCTGACAGGCAGAGCCAGACAGTAGACAGCCTGGCCATGATGTGGATCCCCTGGTACCTGTTGTGCTGAGGTTTGCTGAAGGTCATGTGGCCGGGAGATGTCACCTATCCCTTTTGATTCTGTCCTGGAGATCTTGTACTGACATCGCCTGCCCCTGCTGCTTTGGGCTTCCCCTGCAGCCAAGTCCTGCCAGCCCAGCGGTGTGAAGCCGCATTGTCACTGCCTTTCACTGAGCCCTTTGCAGGCCCTTCACGCGGTGCTGGGTGTTTAGACTGAACGTCACTGCTGACCAGGTGGTTTCTGTCAGCTAAAGCCTTTCAAAGGCAGGCGACACTCTTTTCTGATGCCCGGCCTCTTCTGTTTTCAAAGCCAGGAATCCTGTATGCAGTTCTTGGATACTGTTACCCACCACACTTTGAGATCAGACGGCCATGGCCATAGTCCACCTGTCAGGCACTCAGATGGGCTTCCCAGCTGAGCCTCCTCCCCCAGAAGGACTGGATGCTCCTCTTCTGGGCAGAACTTTCTGGAAGGCTTCTAATGACATGCCACCTCTGCCCGTGACTTGGAATCTGGACCAAGCATGGACTGGCCCCCACTTGTCACGTTTGTTAGAACATCTCTCCTGGGTGGGCTGTTGTCACCTTTAGAGATGGGGTCTGGTCCTAACTCAGCTCCTTCACCTGCCTGTTAGATGGCCCCTTTCCCATATCTCTTCTTCTTCTTCATCAGGGGTATGAGCTGCTCCAAAGCGCCCATGGGCTTCTGTGCTAGTCTGTTATCTTCAGCCATTGAGCTGTGTGACCCTCTATTGTCTTGGTGGGCACCAGTCCGGCACTGGCAGGGCTGACTCTTCCTGCCTTTTCTGTGTCTGGAGGCCCCTAGCTCCCTGGTTCGGGGACCCTGCCAGCTTCAGATCACCCACGTCCCCTAATCTGCTTTTCTCGATTCATCCCTTCAGACTCTGAGCCTCCTGCTTCTTCTGATGACCTCTGGCATGCTCCTTGTCCAGCTCCATTAAGCCAGGGTCATCTCCACCCCTGGTGTTACGATTGGACCTGTTTCACCGTGCCGGCTCTCAGATGTCAGGGGTTGGGATGTGGAGTCTGGGACTCTGCCCCGTGGGTCTTTTGTGGGGGGTGGGGTTGTTCTGTTGGGAAACCAGCGGTGTGAGGCTTGATTGGTGTCCTTCCTCCACTCTAGCCAAATGACCCCGTTACCAACATCTGTCAAGCAGCAGACAAGCAGCTCTTCACTCTTGTGGAGTGGGCCAAGAGGATCCCGCACTTCTCTGAGCTGCCTCTGGACGACCAGGTCATCCTGCTACGGGCGGGTGAGTAGCCAGGCCTGTGAGGCTGTGAGTGGTGGGGTGGGCACCACTCCTACCCTCTAGAGCTACTTCTTCTCTCTTCTAGCTAGGAAAGTGTCAGTAAAGGGTCTCATCAGGCTGCCCACCAGGTCTGTGTGACCTCTGAAGCCTTGTCACCTTGGAAGCCGCAGGTGCTTTTCTGAGCAGTGTGTCTTAATGCGGGTGTGTGAAGCGTAAACAGTGTCTCCCATACTCAGTGAAGGGGACTCTGCTGGGTATGGGTTAGCTTTAGAATTTAGGATGGGGCAAGCTCTGCAGGCTATCCTGATTTCTTCCTTGGCACTGGGACCTGATGACTGTGTCTTGGATTCCACCAAGTGACCAATAGGGGTACCACGATTAGGATCCTGAGATGGGAATATCTTGGGAATGGCATCTGCGGCACTTGCTCACTGCAGAGCTGTGGTGACAATTGGCACCTGCCTCGTATCCCCTGACGGGCCTGGAGACCATACTGACTTGAGGGGCCTGAGCATGCTGATTGCTTTGATTTTTCTGCTTACATAAGGGCTCTCAGCCTCGGTTTGCCCACTCCAGAAGATAAAATGAGCCGTAGATGAGTCCCTGTGCATCATGGAATGCTTTGGAAGCTACTTGGTTGGGGTGAGGCTCGCACAGGCTCTAAGCTTCCTGCCTTCCCCCTGAAAAGATCTGTTGGTGGGTATGAATTGCCGAAATGAACAAGATGGATCCTGCCATGTTTGCCTCCCTGGGTGGGCTTGTTTCCTGTTGGGGGAGGCGTGGGGTCCACTTTGTGAGTACAGACTCCTCTGAGGCTCTGGGAAGCTTCTGTCCAGTGGAGACACAACTGTCCAGGTCTTCGCACTAGCCACTGAGGCATGGCAGTCCACATAGAAGGGGCAGCCCTAGGTTGGGGCCTGAGGTGATCTGGTCAGTGTAGGGCTGAAATGCCTAGATATGAGATGGAGCAGAGTCTGCCCCACGTGCTCCTATGGGGTCCCTGAGGACGTGTTTCTGAGAGTGATCGCCCGTATCCAAGTTGGTTGAACCTGTGGTAAGAAGGATATCAGACTCTGCCTCTCAAGTGCTGACTGCCTCAGTTTCCCCTTCTCAAGTGCCGACTGCCTCAAGTTCTCACGTCGTGAAGTCTTGAGAGGAGACTGTGGGGCCTGGGATCTCAGGTCACGGGCAGTTTCTGGAGTGGCTGGTGTTGAGGAAGTTCATGTGCTGCCCTGGCCACTTGTGCAGAGTCCTCTCCTTCTCTCCCTCCTCCAGGTCCCTCTGATTTAGTGCCCGCACCTCAGCTCTGGGTGGTCAGTGCTGGGGCCTGGGATACATGGCTCCAAGGTGGCTTTCCTTCTCAGTACTCAGCGCTTGTGGATTCCACATGACACAGACTGGCAGCAGTCATTCCATAGCTATCCCAAGGGAAGACCTCGGGGGTTCTCGTCATGTACAGAAAAAGGGGTCCGAGCCCTGGATTTGTTAGAGGGGGTGCTTGGTGCAGGACTTCTCAGGGCTGACACACCACCAGTGTACTTGGTAGAAGGAAGAGGTTTCTCCGTATAACATGAGGGGGGGCTCCCACTTTGGGAGCCCTGACGTGGGTGTAGAAGGAGATTGACCTGGAACACGCTGTTTTGGAGGTCTGATTGTGGATGAGGGCAAGGGACAGTGATGAGGGTCACAGAAACAGCAGAGTAACCCACATGCCTTTTCCCCACAGGCTGGAACGAGCTGCTTATTGCCTCATTCTCCCACCGCTCTATAGCTGTGAAAGACGGGATCCTCCTTGCCACTGGCCTGCATGTACACCGGAACAGTGCTCACAGTGCTGGGGTGGGCGCCATCTTTGACAGGTGGGCTGCGTGGCACTGTCTTTGATAGGTGGGCAGGGTAGGCACCATCTTTGAGAAGTCGGTAGAGTATGTGCCATCTTCATCATATGAGTGGTATAGCATCATTTGGGATAGCTAAGTGGGTTGAGGACCATCTTTGACCAGTTGGCTAAATATGCATTGTATTCAACAGGTAGGTGGGGTGGGTACCCTCTCTAGTAGTTGGGCCATCTCTGACAGGTAGGTAGGGTGGGCTGTCTTTGTGGGGGACAGGCCCCTTAGTCTCTTCCTGCCCTGTTGGAAACAGCCTCTGCTTAGGAAAGACATAAGTGTGGAAAATGCAGGCCAGACATGTGGAGACTGTTGTCTGTGGAGTCCCGTGTCAGGGGAGTTGAGGCCACAGGCAGCCTTCCTTCTTTGTGATCTGAGTATCTACAAGGACAGCTGCACTTGGTTAACAAAAACAGATTGTGTTGCTGGTACGGTTTTATAAGTGTCAACATTTGGCATGTCTCAGCCATAAGTAGTGGTGCTGTTGTAGCCCCTGGGTGACCTATGCCCTGGACTGATGTTTCTGATCTGCTGCTCCTCACACCCCCGGTGCGGGCATGGATGCATGCCTCTGCACCTGTCTTAGCTGCTTCTCAGAGACATGCTCAAAGGAGTGCAGCCACGCCCACGGCCCACCTGGCTCCACCCAGTTCCTCTCCTGAAATGCCTATCTTGCTTGTGTCTATCAGGTGAGGGACTATGGCTGCTTGCCCTTTTTTCTGGATGGCCAGCCCTTATGCACAAGCCTAGGGCCCATGCCAGACCTCAGTGTCTGGGGACCTGGATGTCAATTTGTGTGAGCTGAAGTTGGGAGGCTGGGGATGACTCAGGGGGCATAGGGCAGTGAGTGGTAATGAGCAGGCCCATAGGAGGGAACAGTGTAGGTAGGGGTGGGGCGGGCGAGTCTGAGCTTTAGAGCCCTGAAGTTGGAGGTGAGCAAAGCCACCCATCGACACTCTCCTGGGACAGAGGGGACAATACTCAGATGGCGCTCTTCCCAGAAGTCCGGTTAGAACACACAGAGTGTGTTAGTACAGAGAGGTTTGTGATCGTATATAGAGCAAATGCTAACCTCAACTCAGCGCCAGGCTCTGCATTGCAAGCCTTCTTAGGGTCTTTGACAAGCTCACATACGTGGCTGCTCCACAGGGGGAGGCGTCGGGGTTTACCCTCTGGAGTCTCGTTTTGGGAAATGTAGCCCTAGCCACACGCTCAGCTAGTAGTGCCTCGGCAGTGCTTGGGGCCTTGTGCTTATATTTTCTGGGGACCCCAGGCAGGGGTTGGAGAGACCCCTTGCTTGTCCTCACTGTGGGACTGAGTGGGGTGTGGAGTCTGACCCTTGGTGGCAGGGCTCCTCCTTGCTGCTGAGGTTAGAGAGACGTGGCTCAGGGTGACCGACACGGCAGCCGGGTTTAGGATTCTTCCAGATTCCATGTGTTGAGTTGGAGGGGTCCTTGTCTCGCTGAGGAGGCTATGCGATGCCTGGTGATGAGGCTTTATCCCAGCAGAAAGTCTAACCTGGAGCTAAGGGAAACAGCTATGAATGCAGCTGAGGAAACAGGAGACTCTTGGCTCAGCAGTCTTGGGGTTTCCCCTCCTGCCCCAGATTCCCAGACAGCCCTGGGGTAGTGGAGGACCCCATCCTGCCAAGAACCATGTGCTCATGGTGATGCTTCTTTCCTATGGCCCTGACCAGACTCAGGACTTCAGCTACGCTGGGCGTCACAGGGTCCAGACCCAGTGCTTCCAGCTGCCCTCCACCTACTCTGAGTGTCACAGGGGCCCAGTGGATCTTCCTTGGTCGGGCCCTGGTCAGGGTGTGTCTGATATAGACCTTGGCACCTCTTTTTCCTGCAGGGTGCTAACGGAGCTGGTGTCTAAGATGCGTGACATGCAGATGGACAAGACAGAGCTGGGCTGCCTGCGTGCCATTGTCCTCTTCAACCCTGGTATGACCCTCCTGCCTCCCATGTGGCCAAAGACACTTGCATCTTCCCAGCTGCTCTTCCCCATGCAGCTTTGACCTTGACAGCACATTGTCCCCATCACAACAGAGGGTCTCGTCTTGAGACTTAACCAAGAGGCTCAAATGGCACTCTGTGCGGCTAGAGTACGCACTTGGCACTAGTGGTCTCCAGCTGAGCCTTGTGGGCTCTGCTGTCCACAGTGGTCTTTTGCCACAGTGAGCTCCCAGGATGGGGTTGGTGATCAGTCCATCCCGTTAGGTATCCTGAGGGCAGCCAGTATTGTCTCAAGCCTCGGCTTCAAGGGTTTGGGGTCGGAGCAGAGGGGCCTCCTGAAGACGGCAAGTCCTTTCTGTGGCTCTGGAACCACAGTATTTGAAGCCTCCAGGCTGTTGCTGTCACAAAGGCTGAGACAGTGTCTTCTGTGTGGCACCACGCACGGGAGGCTGTAGTGTCAAGCGTGGCCCAGGCCTGTGCTCACAGCTCTGGGTTGGTGACAGATACCACCGGTGGCCACTCCACATGGTGATGGAAGGATAGTACAGCTGAGAGTGTGGGATCCTTGCTGGGAAGAGATTCGGGAGTTCGAGGGGATGGCCCATGGGGTTGGGGGTGGGGTGTATCTGACTAGGCCCTAGGAAGCTGCTGAGGCTGGGCCCTTGGTATGGCAGGATATGTATGGGCCTTTTGTGTTGGAGGGGGTTATATGTGGGTGGGAGGCTTGGCAGACAGGGCTCATCAACCTTGCCAATGGTGGGTTGAAGGTATGGAGGGACAGGGGACATAGGTCTCCACCCATGATAGCTCACCAGGCAGTAATTCCTGGGACAGCCCAATAGATCCCAGGTTAGGTCTGTGTGGCTCGGTTGGAGGCATGGGGAACCAGGAGGGCCTGGACCTGGGGCTTTGGAGAAGAGAGAGAGGGACTGTCAGGAACTAGGTCAGTTGGAAGAGTCTGACAAAGTCCAAAGAGCCCCCAGACCCAGCCACCTTCAGTATTCCCACTGGGACACTGTGCCTTGATGGTGGTGATGCCTGTGGTTGTGGTATTTTCTGCAGCCTGTATTGTGGTCAGTGTCTAGACTCTGAGGAAGGCCATCCAGGGCATCTGCTCGTGGTGTGGTTCAGGGAGATCCTTAGTGATGGGCTTCCGGCTTTCTTTTCGTCCGTGGGGTGGGGCCCAACGGCAGCGAAAGCATTGGTTATCTCTCATGGCCACCTGGGGAAAAAAATGGGGAAACCTAAGTCCCCAAAAGTCAGGCACCGGTTCAAGGCCACTTAGCTTTCAAGTGTCAGAGTGGAGGCATGACTCGGGAGCATCTGTGCCCCTAGGATGTGAGCTGTGAGTCTGCAGGGCAGCCAGATCTAGCTGTGTACCACATGCACTCTTTGCTGTGTTTACATGTGGCTAGCAGGCAATGTGGGGACTCTGACCCGGGGCCACTTCTCCTTACAGACTCCAAGGGGCTTTCAAACCCTGCTGAGGTGGAGGCGCTGAGGGAGAAGGTGTACGCATCACTAGAGGCGTATTGCAAACACAAGTATCCGGAGCAGCCGGGCAGGTGAGCCGCACCTCCACCCCGAGACAGGCCCCCGCCCCCACTCCTGGGCTTAGCCACCCGTCTCTGAAGCCCTCTGTGTGCCACAAGACAGTGGCGTCTGCCACGAGACCAGCTTGGGATGTTTTGTAGGCTCTGAGCTAGAGCTAGGCCACCCTCTGGCTCACAGGCTCTGAGGACAACACACCTTCCCCCCGCACCGCGGAGAGAGAATTGGTCCAATTCCGGGTGCACACTAGGTGCTTGTCATTGCTCGAGAATACGAAGCCTTCTGTTCTTCACCCGTAAAATGAACCTGTTAAGAGGTCTGGAAATACTGGCATAATGTAGGCGCTTTACAGCCGTGCAGAGGAGATGGCTGAAGCTGGAACGTGTATTTTCTCTCTGTGCCTAAGGAAGACTGGCTGCTGTAGTCACGTTCAGGTCCACAGTGCTGTGCGGACAGTCTGTAGTGCTCGGCACACAGTAGGTGTTCAGGAGGAGCTGTGGTGCGTTCCCAGGATTCAGCCTGATGTGTCATTCTGCTCTTCCCCTTGCGGGGCGCCTCCCAGCCTCCCGGCCTGCAGAGTGGGGGTGAGCGGGTGGCGAAGACTGGGCTGACGGGCACACTAACCCATCTTGTTGCCTGGCACGCACATAGTTAACTGTCCACACTGCTGCTTAGCTCTCATCTGGTTTGGTTTAAAGTGAAACTTCCCGGAGGAGGACAGGAGGGTGGCAACGGCTTGTTTTTCCTGGCTTCCTGCCTTAGCCCATCTCGCCAGCTCAGCAGAAAACAGCCTGTTCTCTGGCGCCTCTCCAGCCTCCAAGTTATGCTTGTGCCTTTAAACCGAGGGCGGTGGGGCAGCCAGCCACGAGGCTTCCTCCCTGGAAGGAAAAGACATGGTTAATAATTAATGAGGTCCAGAGCCCCCTCCAGTGTATAGGGAGGCCCCAAGCAGACAGAGGTCACATGTGGGACCCCAGGTCCTGTCCCCACCCCACACTGTCCTCTCATGTCTGCTATGACTGACTGGCCTGCACGTCCACTTTCCATGAGCCGCGAGTCTCTTTTCCAGTACCTATCAGTCTTTTGCCCAGGAAACACTCCAGGGGCAGAGGGACCCAAGGGCCTCCGCAGTGCCTCGTAGCCCAGCAGAGTCCTTTCTGGGGAGGGGCCTGCACGCCATGCTGGGGATGCTCGTGGGAGGCTGGCATTCCTGCTGGAGCACAGAATTCCCCAGCTCGCTACTGACTCCATCTCCAGCGGGGGGTCCCCACCCTGTGGCTTTTCGGTCACCCACTGAGATGCTGCTCACAGATCTTTCTGTTGCCTCTTCCCAGGACAGGCCCCACTGCCTCTAGGACAACTGCTCTTGGAGAGGCCTCTCTGCTGCACAAATCCATTCATGCTCTTACCTGCTCACATTTTTACCGTGGCTCCCCGTTGCCCATGGAGCAAGCCCACACTTGCAGCTTCTCTCCCAAACCCTGTTGGGCCTGTCCTGGCCAACAGTAGTCTTACCACGAGCTCTTCCTTTCATTCCAGAGCCCCGTGGATCCTGATGCACCTCACCCAACCACCCCTACCCCACCCACCCCTACTCCTTGTGCTCTTGTCTCTAAGGAGCCTCCTGTGTCTAGTTCCTCACTCCATCTTCCTGAAGGGTCAACTCAGGCGGCTTCCTCTGCAGACCACATTCAGGTTCCAGGCCACTGAACTGAGCCGGTGTCTAGGGAAGGAAGCTACAGGTCACCAAGGATAGAGGGGAGCCGCCCCCGTCTCCTTGCCGATCCTAATTCTCTGCTCTCCTGCAGGTTCGCCAAGCTGCTGCTTCGCCTGCCTGCACTGCGCTCCATCGGGCTCAAGTGCCTGGAGCACCTGTTCTTCTTCAAGCTCATCGGGGACACGCCCATTGACACCTTCCTCATGGAGATGCTGGAGGCCCCACATCAAACCACCTAGGCCCCTGCCACCCGTGCGCCGGTCCCGCGCCCTGCCCGGACACAGCTGCTCAGCTCCAGTCCTGTCCCTGCCCTTTCTGCTGGCCCATGTGGACCTTTGGGGTGCAGTATCCCTACGGTCTCAAAAGATGCGTCACCATCCTCGTCATCTTTATTACCGCTTGCCTTTGGCCCGGGGCCATGGCCAGAGCTGGTTGAGACCCAGCCAGCCCCCTTCCCCACATCAGGCTCTTAGGCTACCCTGCTGTTACCCTGAGGGGCTTAGGGGTACTTCATGGGGTCTTCAGCGCCTGGAGCTACGAGAGCTGGGAGAAGGGCTTGTTCTAGTTGCTGTTTGCTGTCGCTGGTTCTCGACATGCCCATGTGGCAATTCTGTTTGGAGTGGCCCGTCTTTGCCTGTGCAGAGTTCTGGTACCCAGCTAGGGTGGGAGTCACCTGGGGTAAAGAGGGAGCAGGTGGGGGCAGGTCCTATCCCCCTGGGTCAGAGCTAACCCGTAAAGCCTGTTCCCAAAGATAGCCTGAGATGTCACCGTGGCCACTGCGCAGGATTCTGGGACCACCTCAAGGCTGCATGGGCTGGGAGTCCTCCCAGTTCCCCCGTATGTCTCACCAACCCAGGGTTAGCCAGATGTAGTAGCCTGGCTTTTCCCTATTCCAAACCTTCCTTTGTGGTCTGCAAGGTGGTGCCAAGGATCATCCTGGAGGGCTACCCTGGGCTCAAGTAGAATGGGGTTTCCAACTCAGTGGTCCTGTGGGCAACACATGGGCTGTCCTTTTGCTGGCCTCTTGTAGGACACTGGACATCGCGAGGCTCAGGGAAGGGAGGCGGTTGTTGTCTGGTTTCCTGAGAGAGGGCTGGAGGCACTTGGGGATGAGCCACACAGACGTGACAGTGGCCTGGTGTGACTCACTTGCCAGCCTCTGTGGGGTTCTCCCATGGGCCGCTTCTTTGACTGGTCACTTCTTTTAGGGATGCTGATAGGGACTCCTCTTGGTATGGGGTTGTCTGTGGGCAGTGCGCAGAATCTTACCCAAGGGTTCTGCCACATCTGCTCAGGTGGCAGGCTGCAGACTCAGACTTTAGCTTTGTCTGCGTGGCTCACTTCAGGCTGAGTGTGCCTCTCCAATTCAACAGCCTTGTTTGCACTGTAGGACCTCCCTGGGTCCCAGTCTTCATGATCTAGTCTCACACCCAGGGACCCAGGATTGTCAGGAGCAGGTGCCTTAGTGGGGATGACCACACTGCCTCCCCGACAGCTGGTCTCCCATTGGTGCAGAGGGGTGGGAGGGGAAGGCCTTCATGGAGCCAGCCAACCAGGGGTTGGGCCTGGAGGTGGTGAGTGGGAGGAGCTGGTTTCATAGGCTCTATGAGGAAGGACACATTCATTTTCCAACTTTCAAAGTCCCCAACCATAGCCAGCTGAAGCACCTATGAAAGATTCCAGAAACATCTCCCCTGTACCCCGTCCTGACTAGTGGCAGCATGAGAGATGTGCGTGGGACGCCTCACAGTCCCCAGGACCAGCCAGCTGCCCCTTGTCCTAGACTTTCCGAGAAACTCTGTGCAGCCTCTGGGGGATGGTAGCACCAGGCGCAGGGGGTAGACTCCCCAACCCACACCTAGCACTGTGCCTTCTGCAGACCACAGCTCCCATTGTTCACGTTGGCCCCGTTATGTGCTGTGCTGTGTCCTGTGCCACCGAGGAGGGTCAGTGGCTCCTGCAGAGAAAGTCCTGGGACTGACTCTGGAATGCTGCCATGGGCTTGATTGTTTTTCAGGCACTGGGGCCGTGACCCCTAGCCCCACATAGCCTCACCTGCCACTGCTCGTCATCATAGACGCCCTGGTGGGCTTCCTGTTCCTCTAGCCTCATTGTCACCGTCATTGTGTGTACAGCGCTGTTTGTTTGCAGGGGAGGCGTGGGCGTGTTGTCACTAAGGAGAGAATTGGGTTCATTTAACCAGACCTTCAGCCATGTTACCCATCTGGCTCAGTTAGGGTGATTGTAATTATTATTGTTGTTACTATTTTGGTGGAACAATCTTTAATTTTCTAAAGAAAGCACTAATGTCAGCTCATTAGCTACCCCGCGCCCATCCCCTCCTCGGCCTGGTTGGATAACAGCTGCCATCGATGGTCCTGTGACATTCTCACTGCTGCTTTGGGGCCATGCTCTTCATCTGTGTCTCCTCCCTGCTTGGAGATTCATTTGGGGCTCCTATGACTGAGAAGTGAAGATGACCACAGAGCCTGTGGCAGCTTCTGGCCCGTGTCACCCTGAAACCACAGACACTGAGGGAATTTGGTCTCACGCCCTCAGTTTTCCAAATTACAGCAGCCCTAAGGATACTAGGCAGTTTGGTGACAGTGCCAAGGGACACCTGAGCCCCTTCCCCTGGGATCCCAGAAGATCTGGCCGGAGCAGGCAACCAATGGCTAATCATTTGCTGTCCCCGTCACAGAATCGGGGGCATGTGACCTGGTCCCCATGCACACAGGTGTGTGTTGTGAACATGTATGTGCTGTACAGAGACTGTGTGCAGAGACTGCATGCCGGTGACAGGACCTGCGGCACAGTTACTGTTTTGTGTTCTCTTGTAATCAAGACTTTCCCATTTTCCTGTACATTCGCTTCTTGTGAGCAAGGACCTGAGGTCCCCTTCTGTGGGGAAGTCGGGCTCTGGTGACTTTGGAGGCAGGGGATGCATCTATTTTCAGATGCTGCAGGGCTGGAGTGCCCTGATCTCTAGCCATGCCTTAGCTGGGATGCACGGCCACTGTGGGGAGGATGCCGTGTCCACAGGGAATAAAGATAGAGGAATGTTTAACGCACCGGGAAGGGTAAATGAATCTATTTTTGTACAAATGTAATTTTATCCCTCATGTAAACTGGATGGCACGGCGGGGGACCTGTTTTGTTTCTGCTTTGAGTGTCGCGAAGCGTTGGGACACCCGGACGCTGAGATGGCAGAGGAGGCCCTTCCGAGGCGGCTGAAGAACTCGTGAGAACAGCACAGACAGACATTTCCTTCGGTGGGTGGGAGGGCCACAGCCAGCAGGGTTTCCTTCCCCTTCTTGGTGATTGGAACAACCTTGCTATATCCTCGGTGCCTGCCTGCCGGCCTTGCCGCAACTCGTCTGACTGTGAAATGACTTCCCTGCGTAACTGCTCTCTGGGACTTTGTGGCGCAGACGCTGGGGGTTGATGAACAGCAGTCTCAGGATTGTAGAAAAGAAACACAGAAAAACGTGAGAGGAGAGACAAATATGAGCGTTTCAAAATATATCTCCATTCGGTTCTCATCTGTCCTGTGTTGGGATGTCCTGTCTTGGGAGTTGCAGAGTGGGAGGGCCTGTGGTCAGCTCCAATCCCCGCCTTTCTGCCTACATCTTTTGGGTAGGGTCTTCTCATGTCTGCTCTGCTATGATGCTCTCCCCCGCAACCTGGGGCTTGTCAGAGGCCTCTACAGAGCCCCCCCCCAATCATGGACATCAGCTTGTGGACACTTGCAAGGATCGTGTGTTGCTACCTGCCCAACACTGGCCTTTCTGCACCTACCTCTTGTGCTGGCTGGAGTGGGCAGGAGGTTCACACGGAGGGCCCCAGATACATGATATCATCTAACTGCCCGGTTAATTATAGGTTAACAATTACCCCATCTGTGCCATCTCATGTGATAAATGCCCTTTGTCTCCGTGCTGTCTGCAGGTTGGGCTGCATCTGCCCCCAAGTTTGGTGACACTGACCTGTCATCTCAGGCCCCTCTATCCAGATGAGCTTACTCTGGGAGGCACTGAGTACCTATAGGCTGGGAGCAGGGCCTGACGATCCTTGTGATGTTGGATACCCGTCTAGCTGCTGGCTAGCCCCCTGCAGAGCCAGGCTCCTTGAAGTCCCTGCCTAGGAGCATACCATCACGTGTGCCCTTTCCTACACTCGTGCTACAACACCGAACATTTCTCTGGCCTCGGAGGACAGTGGAAAGCCGAATTCGGCATGTTGGGTCCAGACCTTCATAATGCAGTTACCGCTCTCTCAGGCATGCAAACGAAAACTGCTGTCCCCTGAAGTAGCCTCTTCTGGGTGCCTGATTGGCCGGTGAGACCTTGTAAGATGCCTGTCCCCCTCTCCACTAAGAGGTGCTGCTGACTAGAGGGACTTTGTCCTGAGCCGGGCCTTCCCATGGTTAGAGCCAGTGCCATTGCCCAGGATCAGCGTGAACCTTTGGCAGTCCAGAGGTAGGGGACCTGGGGGGTCCCCGAACCACTAGGCTGCCCACCTGATGCCTTGGAGGCAGTACAGCCCACCTGCCAGCCCACTCTGGCCCTCTGTGGTAAAGTTTTGTGCCCAAGGCTCATGTTTGGCCCGTTCCTTGGTCTGGAGTGTCATCTCAGAGAAGTGGGGACTTGTCTTAGCTTCTTTATGCTCTCTGTGCTGACCTCACCACAGATTAGAAGTCGGGTCAGTCTTCTGTTGACTGGTACCCTTCCAAAGAAGCCTGTCCTCAGAAAGGACAGAGGACCCTGCAAGAGACTTTGGGTCAGGGCTAGGAGCAAGGCAAAGAAACCCAGCTGCAGAAGGGACGGTTATCAGGGTCCTTGGTGCTGGATTTTAGTGACCCATAGGTGATGGGAGGAGGGGACTAAGGTGGGTCCAAGGGGCAGGGCTGCCTCTAGCTCAGGTGTCCCTGGGGTGGTTCATGGAACTGACTACCTCCAGGGACATAGTACTGCAGGATGCTCTGCCAGCTGAGCAGACCCAGGCTGCCTGCCGGTATCACTTGGCAACCTGGTTTAAGGCCTCCTTGCTGCCTCTGGTTGCCATGGCAATGCTTGCTCAGGGCAGTCCCTCTGGACCAGAGATGCTGGGCTTGATAAGTTTATCAGCAGCAGAATCAGGCAGTGGTAGGCTGAGCCAGCCTCTAGGCCCGTGTAACATGAGAGGCCAGGGTGGGGGCAGGGCCTCAGTGGGATATCACCGAGCCCCCCTTTTCTCGCTGGTCAGTTGCCTAGTATCAGTAGCCGAGGGAGAGGAAAGAACAGACCTTCCCGTCAGCGAGCGGTAGTGGTGGGGATGGATAGAAGGGAACACGCCTTGGGACAAATGGGGCTTCAGGCCTGAGGACTCCAGCAGGAGAGTTGGGCAGGAAGGAGTCAGAGCAAGAGAGGGAGTCAGGCCGTGGGGGGGTGGGAGGATGCTTGGCTGACTGTCTCTTCAGATTAGAAGGTGAAGGAGTGGGTGGTCATCTGATGCAGACACAGAGAAACACCAAGGAAAACTCTAAGGGTCACAGCTGAGGGCCCAGCTTGCCAATCTTTGTAGGGCCCTGAGGGCAAAGAGGCTGCCTGGAGGCTATGCCAAGGTGGATTAAAAGCCTGAGACTGGAAGATGTGCTTGGTTGCCCAGGACTGACAGCTTCATGGCTAGTTCCCAAATGTGAGGTGCCACTGCCCCCTGCTGGAAAATGTCTGGATAAGGCTGATTCCCTTCAGGGCCCTCTGGTTCCCCCAGAGCCTTGTGCTATACAATGCATTCTACACGCCCCCCATTATTAGAATACTCAGGGTGCTGGCCAGTCCTGAGGCACACAGTCCATGCTGACAAGAGCAGGCTTGGTAGGGTTGTAGCATCTGCAATGTTCAGCATGATTCTGATGAGTGGACTGTGTGCAAGACTAGACTCACCGTCCATCAGTGCTGGATTGGCAGCAAGGCCCACCTTGGGCTTGTTTCCTTATCTCTGGTAAGGACAGTGTCCCCATGCCCAGGGCCCTGGTAACAGGGGCCCTAGTCGCCTGGGACATGGCCTTTGGGTACCACTTGCTTTTCTGCTAGTGTAAAGAGGCTTTGAAGCTGGCACCAAAGTTGGGGCAGTTTGGACTCAGGTACCAGCTTCGAGGTCTCCCTTGGAGAAGATTAGGACTGTGGGCCCAGAGCCTAGAAGAGGGCACCATTTCTCTTGCCTACTGGGAGAAGGATCATGAAGATGAGGCACCATGGCACCCACGAAGGTGAGCAGTGAGGGAGTCCTGGAAATCTAAGGGCAGGTCAGAGCTGCCCGAGGAGCTTGAGTGGGGGAAAAGCTTGGGGACTGGAGAAGTTTGATATCTCCAGTCTCTATCGACCCCTTCCTCCCTCCCTCCCTCCCTCCCTCCCTCCCTCCCTCCCTCCCTCCCTCCCTCCCTCCCTCCCTCCCTCCTCCCTTCCTCCCTTCCTCTCTACCCATCTATCCTTCTGATCTTCTATATGTACACTCAACCATCCACACATCTGTCCATCCATCTTTCCATCTACCCATATATGACTGTCCATCTGACATTTCTTAGACCCAGGTCCTGTTCAGGGGGTGATTGAATCTGTCCCTCCAGGATAGGAAAGCATCATAGGCCTTAATCCCTGAGACTCTGGGTTCCTTTCCCCCTGGCCCTGTCACCCTCCGATGCTGCGACTGATGCTGGGAGACAGGAGACCCACACTACGAAGCCAGATCCAGCATCCCAGGTGCTGGGAAAAGAGTGAGCTTTGTCCTCTGGGGCGGCTGGCTGGAGCATCACCTTCTGTCTCCCTGCGGCCAACAGCTGTCAGTGTGTGGTCCAGTTTGTCTTGGGGGCAGTGGGGGGGGGGGTCTAGAAGGCAGGGGTGGGGCTCAAGTCCAGAGCAGGGAAAACAATGTTATTTCCTCACTTCAGCCTCCCATATGTGGGTGGTGGTAGAACTGCCATGGTTGTTGTGTCCCGAAGTAGGGTAACATCCTCACAGGGATGGTTAGCACACAACTCAGACTAGAAATCGTCCAGGAGAGAAGGTCACTACTGTGGGTCAGCTGAGCAGGCCTCTGCTCCCAGGTACTCAGTGCTCTGGGATGAGGGCAGGCTCAGGTCTGCTTTGGAGGACCTCACGGCTGTGAGGGTGGAGCTACAGAGTCAGGGCCTGCAGCCTGAGGCAGGGTCTGCTCAGAGGGAAACATGGAGGAATGAGGGCTGGAGGCTTCAGGATAGGCTAGAGTCCCCTTTCGCCTGTTGCTCCAGGCCTGGTGTGTGTGTGTGTGTGTGTGTGTGTGTGTGTGTGTGTGTGTGTGTGTGTGTGTTACACACTCTTGATTACCAAGATGCATCTGAGGTTCAGAAAGAAGAGAGGCTGCTGTATCCAGACGCTTCCTATAGCCCCACTTGCTGCAGGCCCGAGGGCAGCTATCAGCAAGCAGGTTTTGAAAAAGCTGAAGATGGCCCAGCAGTCACCATCCAAGGCATGCACCCTACAGGTCTGAAAACTTATATCTACCCAAAAACCTACAAGGGAACATTGATAACACCTTTCCCCTAATCACTCCAAGCTGGAAGTCACCGAGATGTCTTTTGATGATGCCACCATACTACGGCATGCTGCTCAGCAATAAAATGGTTGGGGTGGGTCTAGTAGCCCTGAACACACATGGGAATGTCCCAAATGCATCACGTGAGGGGGAGATCAAGGAGAAGCCTCCACTGAGTCACTCGACTCGTGTGCTTGGGGCTGGTGAACCCAGGAGCCTTTTATAGGGTGGTAAAGTGATTCTGGGCCATCCAGGGTCAGAGGACACTTGTTAAAACCTCAGCTCTCTGTCACCATGAGACAGTCTGTTGGGGGTGACGTGGTTAGCCTGTGCCATAGGAGTAGGGCCCCTCTCTGAAGGGCAGGACGGAGCTGCCTGGTGGCTTGGCAGCGGTGGATGCTGAGCCAGTAGAGGTCAACAGGGCTGTGCTGGAGCAGTGCGGTGGCTCCGTGGTGGCTGGAGGGGTGCTTCAGCTCCCCCTCTCATCGTAGCCAGAAGAAGAAGCAGAGAACACAGGCTGGGAGCAGGAAGGGGTGTGACTTTCAAGTTTTGCCCAGAAACCCATCCCCACCAGCCATCCCCCACAACCCAAACACTCTCTACCTGTCCCTCAAACAGCATCATCAGCTGGAGAGCATCTGTTCAAGCCACATCATGGGGGGGGGGAACAAAGGAGGGGAGGCGAGTCACAGGGAGATGGGAGTGGGGACTGAGGCTTAGCACCACACAGTTATGTGTGGGAATTAGATTTGTGCACAGGGTAGGTGACACCCCACATTCTCACTGTCAGCTGAGAGACATCTGTAGCAACCAGAATGTCCTGGGAGCAATGGGTCCCTGAACCCAGGGCTCTGGTGCTAATTCTTTCCTCCTGGCCTGGGAGTTCTGGGAGAAACAGCTGGGTGTAGGCATGGAGCAGGGATAGCACAAGCCGAGCCGGGAGTGTTTTGCAAGGACAGAAGATAAAAGTAAAAAAAAAAAAGCATTAAAT